GAGGAGAGGGTTCTGGAGATGGCACTGAGGTGCTCACTGAAGAGTCACTCATCACAGCAACTACTGTCTTTTCAATGTTGAGTCCTGAGTCACCATTACTTGTAGTATCAGGTGAAACTGAAAAAACTGATACTTCAAAAACAGCTGTTACCCCAGCTACATCACTTTACAGTACTGAGAAACTAAGCTCAGTGTCACCTGAAACAAAAGAGACAGTAACCACGAGTCAGACTGACAAAGCATCAGTAACACCAGAGGCAAGTTCAACTTTAGCAGCAAGTGAGCAGACTGAGGTGTCCAGCAAAGATGCAACAGCTCCTACAGCTTCCTTGTTGTTTCGCACTGAGACACTAACAGTACCGCTAGTTGAGGAAGACGACAGTACTGTCACAGATCAGACAGAGAGGTCCTCAGTGTCGTCCATTACTGATGAGACAGAGCAAAGTTCCATTTTGACTCCAGTAGATGAAATTGGCTCTGGTGACCAAACCCCTGACACTCCTACTTCTTCAGTCACAGGTACATCCTCTCTCTTCAGTACTGAAGCACCAACAGCAATGTCTCCTGGAATGACAGAAAGTCTTGAAACAGATAAGACAATAGTTCCATCAATTATAGGAGGACCATCAGTTTCTCCGATTTCTGTTGAGACACTGACAAGCTCAACAACAGTGTCTCCAAGTTTGGCCTCCATTATATCTGTTGTCACAGACACTGAGGATGATGTTACCAGCAGTAGGTCTACAATGGTGGAGTCCATTCCTTCCATCAGTGGAGCAACCTTGAGTCCTGAAACAGCATCATTCCTCATGACCACAAGAGGAGAGGGTTCTGGAGATGGCACTGAGGTGCTCGCTGAAGAGTCACTCATCACCGCAACCACTGTCTCTTCAATGCTGAGTACAGGGTCTCCATCAGTGGCAGTATCAGGTGAAACTGAAACAAGTGATACTTCAAAAACTGCTGTTACTCCAGCTTCATCACTTTACAGTACTGAGAAACCAAGCTCAGTGTCACCTGAAACAAAAGAGACAGTAACCACGAGTCAGACTGACAAAGCATCAGTAACACCAGAGGCAAGTTCAACTTTAGGAACAACACATGAAGAGAGCTCAGTTGCGGAGACTGAGGTGTCCAGCAAAGATGCAACAGCTCCTACAGCTTCCTCGTTGTTTAGCACTGAGAAGCCAACAGTACCACCAGTTGAGGAAGAAGACAGTGCTGTCACAGATCAGACAGAGAGGTCCTCAGTGTCGTCCATTACTGATGAGACAGAGCAAAGTTCCATTTTGACTCCAGTAGATGAAATTGGCTCTGGTGACCAAACCCCTGACACTCCTACCTCTTCAGTCACAGGTACATCCTCTCTATTCAGTACTGAAGCACCAACAGCAATGTCACCTGGAATAACAGAAAGTCTTGAAACAGATAAGACAAAAGTTCCATCGATTACAGGAGAACCATCAGTTTCTTCAATCTCTGTTGAGACACTGACAAGCTCAACAACAGTGTCTCCAAGTTTGGCCTCCATAATATCTGTTGTCACAGACACTGAGGATGATGTTACCAGCAGTAGGTCTACAATGGTGGAGTCCATTCCTTCCATCAGTGGAGCAACCTTGAGTCCTGAAACAGCATCATTCCTCATGACCACAAGAGGAGAGGGTTCTGGAGATGGCACTGAGGTGCTCGCTGAAGAGTCACTCATCACAGCAACTACTGTCTCTTCAATGCTGAGTACAGGGTCTCCTTCATTGGCAGTATCAGGTGAAACTGAAACAAGTGATACTTCAAAAACAGCTGTTACTCCAGCTTCATCACTTTACAGTACTGAGAAACCAAGCTCAGTGTCACCTGAAAGAAACGAGACAGTAACCACGAGTCAGACTGACAAACCATCAGTAACACCAGAGGCATCATCAACTTTAGGAACAACACATGAAGAGAGCTCAGGTGTGGAGACTGAGTTGTCCAGCAAAGATGCAACAGCTCCTACACCTTCCTCGTTGTTTAGCACTGAGAAGCCAACAGTACCTCCAGTTGAGGAAGAAGACAGTACTGTCACAGATCAAACAGAGAGGTCCAAGCAACGCTTTGTTGAACTAACAACCTTGGCAACAACCACATCAAGCCCATCAATGACATCCACATTTGTTGAGGAGGACAGTTCAAGTTTTGGAGAATTTACAACAGTCACATTAAGTCCCTATACACTTGAAACGTCTCAGCCAATCCCCAGTGTCACTGTGTATGCCTCAAAGGAAACTTCCACTTTCATTGACATGGAGAGCTCTGGTGGCTCAACTGATGAGGATGATTTAGAATCAGGTCAAGAAGGATCTGCAGAGGTTTCCACTGAAACTACCACAAAACCCCAGGATGAATATACTGTGGCCACAGATGAGACTGAAACAGATGTCACTGAGAGCACAACTGACATGTTAAGTGCTGCATCCTCAACTCACTCCAGTACACAGCTCAAAACGGAATTTATATCATCAACTCAATCACCACACATGACAAGCACTGACAGTTACATTACTGAGCAGGGTAGTGGGGTCTTCACAGATGATTCTACAGTAGAGGATGAGAGTTCAGGTGTTGACCTTTTTGACCAATCAACTATATTTTTACCAGTCACAAGTTCTCCTGTGATGTCCACTGCTGTCATTGAGAGGAGTTCAAGTGACAAAAGAGTTACACAAACACCTACTGGCACCACAGCTTCTTCTTTTCATAGCACTGAGAAGCCAACAGCAATGTCTCCTGAAATGCACACTTCAACAGTTCAGGGAAGCCCAGCTTATACGTTCTCTCAGTCGTCCTCTATTTCACCTGCAACTGTTTATAACACAGAGTCTCCCGCTTTCACATTGGATACATTTTCAGCTTTCTTAGATATTGAGGATAAAGAGAGTACAGCCTTTTCCCTGTTGAGCACAGAGATACCTAAAACAACAACAGCATCACATGAAACTAGACCATCTGATATTCCAAAATCAACACCAAGTTCAGCCTTTACTTTGACCGAGGGAGAGAGTTCTGGTAACCAAACCACTGAGATGCTCAGCTCAAAGCCATCAGTGATGGATAGCGTCACGTTTGGAGAAGCAACAGGTGAAACTGAAACCTTTGTTTCAGTCACACCAACCTCTGATGAGCAGGTTTCCTCACAAGAGGGTGAAATTACTCCAGGTACAGAAAGCCCCATCACTTCTGAAGCAATAGAACCTTCTGTTTCGAGCATAGGGAAAGATGAAGTTACTGTATCTGAGCACATAAGTCAGTCCTCCTACACAACTATGTCCCCCTATACAGTTGGAACTTCAGTTAGTGAGCACCCCACAGTCACCACAGTAAGCTCTAGCAGTGAAGAGAAGCAAGATGCATTTGTATCAATGTCCACCCCTATTCCCTCCATTATATATCATAGCATTACAGACCAACAGGTCATGATCATTACTCCCAGTAGCAGCCAAGCCAAGACTGACCTAACTGAACAAACACCTACCATGGTCCTGCATGTGTCTAAACCATCAACCACCACAAATATCATATTCACAGAGGATGTAAAAGATGAAGATGGGCTGTTCTCTGCAGTTACAGAAAGTATTGCTAAAGACAGCTCCACTCCTGAGCTTGTCACCAAAGATGATAATATCATTGATGCAGATACTATTTCCATAGTTCCCTCTTCTTCATTTTACCCAACCATCCAGACTGAGGAAGCTGGAGGTGTCACACCAGTGACAATGACACAAGAATTGGAGGTAACAGAAGAATCAGAGGGTTCAGGGGCTGACAATGCCTCCCTCTTTACTCCCATACCAGTAACTTTACATGCAACCTCAGCCACTGATTCATCAATAGCCTCAACATCTTCTGAACATTTACCATCCAGTTCAAAACCATCAACTGTCGAAGGTGCGTCTACTATGGAGACATCCAGTGAAGAGATGGTCACATTCGCACCACAGGCCACCCCAGTTACTACTCTGTCCACAAAGTTAGGCTCTGAAGAAACATATGATTTAACCACACCACATACAGTTTTCACTGTTGAGACTCAAACCAAACCAGTTCCAGAGATGGTGGGGGTTGATTTATCAGGCGAGGTCACTCCTGATAATGTCACTGAGTCTGTCACTGAGATTGACGCTTCCTCAACTTTGCCTTCTGAAACTTTATATGACACAACAGACACAAGCTCAGCCACTCCTGTGTCCAGTGAGGAGTACATGGTCAACACAGCTGACAAAGAAAAATCCATTGCCTCCTCACCCACAGCCATTACAGCCATAAGTCAAGTCACAACAGAAACCTTAAGTTCCACCATTTCCACTGCTGTACCTTCAGCTGCTGTCACAGCACACACACCGGTGTCCACTGGAATTGGGACAGTAAAATCAACCAGTGAAGCATCTGATGATGAATATTCAGGTGATGATGACTCTGAAGAAGGCTCTGCAGAGACAACTTCGGGGTCCTCAGTGGATGGTTGGACAGCATCTGAAAAACCAGTGAAACCTACAACTTCTTCACTGTTCAGCACTGAGAAACCAACTGTTGCCCCTGATACAGGACATACAGATGAGGTGATTTCAGGCGACCAAAACCAAAGTATGTTTACTGAGGACATAATTACATCCGATAAGGCAGAGCACATCACACCTACCTCACCTGGAACTGCCACAGGAGAGTTTGCAAAGTCAACAACAAGTGCTTCCTCTTCTCTCTATAGCACAGTGAAACCGTCTGATACAGAAGGGACAGACATCACTGATACAGACACATCAATTGATCAAACCTCTGGTATAATAACAACTCCAACAGTGAAGGCTGAACCAGTAACACTTTCAATTACCTCTCCTGAATCTGCCACTGGGGAGACTGAAGTTACAGTATCAAGTGCTGTTTCCAGTCTTTATAGCACAGAGAAGCCAACTGTCACATCATCTCTGGATGTTACTGGGAAGGATGGATCATATGATCACACTCATGTGACAGAGCCTGTGACACAGAGAGCTGGTCCTATGCATAGCACAATGAAAACAGACCAAATGCTATCCACAACAACGTTATCTACTCCCTACAGCACTCATACATTTTCAGTGGAAAGCAACACAGATGTTGCAGGTGAGGGGGGCTCTGGTGATGGGACCTCAGACACTTCAACTGCATCATCCAAGACAGTCACATCTGAGAGTGAAAAAACTGTAGCCACCCCAATATCTCCTCAGGTCAGTACAGAGAAACCCATTAAAATGACCCCTGAGGATGAAACTCAAACAAGTGAGATGACCACAGAGGTAGAGAAAGCATCATTGTCAGAAACGGTCTCACCCCCTACTGATGGTGCAACATCAACTCCAGCACATGAAGAGAGCACAAAGGATCACATAACTTCTATATCTCCAAAAGAATCAGTTTCTACATTGGCAGTATCTTCTCTACAAAGCACTCCAAAGCCTGGTGTGATGGTTCAGTTTGTCACCACTTTTGTACCAGAACTAGATACAACACCATCTGAGGTGTCCTTCCAACAGGCCAGGTCTGAGATCACATTCACTCATCATCCCCACGTTGACATCTCCTCAGAAGAAACTGTGTTGGCCACAACCAGCCCAATGTTGCCAAGTGAGGAGTCAAGCCAGCGCTTGCAACCTAGTGATGTAACTCCCCAGACTGTTGCAACAACCACATCACTGGAAGATAAGACAGCTGAGGAACCAAGCCAAGCACCTGTAACCAAAGAAGTTTCAACTAATACCGAAGGTAGCACACAAGATAGTGAAATCCAGAAAACATCTACTGATTCTGTATTAACTTCCCATCCTACAGATGAAACAGTAGATTCTAAAGGGACAGAACCTGCTGGAGTTGAGTACACAACTCCAAAACTTGCAACTGACAGATCTGCAAAACCTGAAGAAGAAACTGCAGCTGTTGAGACTGCATCTTCTGCAGACTCAAGCTCAGTGGATACATCTGCAGAGAGTTCAAGTGAACAAACTCTAGAGGCAACTGTGTCTTCACTGTTCAGTGCTACGACTCCATTGGTGGCTTCCATTTCAGATGTTACCAATGGCGTGGTGTCTGAAGAGTCATCAACGTCACCCACCAAAATGGTGACAGGAGAGAGTGAACAGACTGCCACACCCCCTACTGCTGCTGAGAAATCAACTGCAGTGTTACTTGAGACAGACACTTCAACAGATAAAGACGGTTCAAGTTATGAAAAGATATCATCAGAGAGTGAGGAGATCCCTGTATCAACAGCAACAAGTATAATCATTGTAACAGAAGAAGATGGTTCAGGTGACAATACATCTACAATCTCTGATTCTGACTCTGTCACTGCAGTCGTTTCATCCCTGCCCACTACTAAGTTGGATACTATCAGTAGCACTTTATCTTCTGAGCTGGCAAACACCCAAACAGTTAAACCTGAATCATCTACACATGAACAAATCTCAGATCATAAATCACCTGATGTCTTCACTGAAGCTCATGCAACACAATCCCCCTCCAGCACCGCAGGTGCTACAAGTGCTGTAGAAATCTCTCCAAGCTCGGAGACTAAAGTAGTGGTCACCACAATGCCAGCTGAACACATTTCCCTTGAACCTACTTCAAATGTCCTGTCAGCATCAGTACCATCACAGCCTGATGTTATGGTCCAGTATGTCACAACAGTTTCACCTATACAACATCTAATAACTCCCCAGGAGTCATTTGAACATGCCAGATCAGAGGTTGCACTAACACACCGCCCTCACGCTAATCTTTCTTCTCAGGATATATCACTGACAACAACTCGCCCTATGCTTACAAGTCATGAAGCAAGCCAGATTAGAGAATCAACGACTGTTGGCTCTTCTTCAGTGGCTGAAGCTGTATCTGCTTCAGTGGAAGATGGGACACTTGAACCCGCTGTTGATCAGGTTTCAAGTGGTTCAAGAACTGAACCATCTCCAGATACGGATGTACAAGTCACGCCTTCTATGGAGAATATATACGGTGATAATTTGGATTATCCAGCCCCAGATTATGATGACAAAAACCCCAGTTTTGTTGAATCCAATCCACTAAACCCCAAACTTGAAACACCAAAAGAAGCAGTGTTCATTACTACAACACCTGTTGTTTCTCAAACATCTGAGAGACAGCCTGTTTACTCAGTGAGCAGCACTGAAGGTAGCTCAGTGGAAAAGGCAACCAAACCACCTGCACTATCAGCAGCAGCTATCACTGTCTTGCCTTCTGCTGCAGCTCCAGTCGTTGCACCATCCTCCTCTAGTTCAGAGAGTGGTTCAGAGAGTAGTTCAGAAAGCAGCAGCAGCTCAGAAGAAGGCATGTCCACAGAAAGCTCTGAGAGTATGTCTGATGAGGTGAATACGACAACGAAACCAAAGAGCTGTTTGGAGGAACAGTCACTGTCCCCAGATGAAATTCAGACTGTATTTAAGGTAGATGCTACCACAGCTTCAAAGATGGAGTCTGCTAGTGTTGATAGCACCTCTGGGAAAGAGGAAGTTGTGGGCAAAATTGAGGAAGACGTCTCTCCTCACACTGAATTACCCAGCAGGACTCACACAGAGTTCACAACAACACCAGCTCAAGCGCAAAGCCTGCCAGTTTTTGTTACATCTGTAGCCACCACTCCATCATCTTTTTCTGAAGAGGATGGCAAACCAGACAGTGACATACCACTCAATAACAGAGAGACACCACAAAGAGAGGAGGAAACAACTGCAAAAGCTGACACAGGACTTGATTTGGGGCACACTGTCATTGGCGAGACTGTTGAAATTTTAGGTACGTTTCTTCAAATGGCTTTCACTAGAATACAACAAAATGTGTAAGCTCTGAATAAATTTCCTTTTATCCTTTCCTTTTTTATCTCTTAACAGGAATTTACTCGTGCACAGAAAATATCTGTCTGAATGGAGGATCTTGCTACAGGACTGGAAGCATCTACGCATGTACCTGTGCTCCTGGTTACAGTGGTCATCGCTGTGAAACAGGTAGAACATATCAAGAACATCTCTCACATATCTCACTGCCTTAAAGGAGCTCTTCACCCCCAAAATATATGTATGTCAATTGGTCACCCCATGTTACGTTGAATTCGTTAAGACAACTTTGTTTTCTCACATGCCTCTGGTGAACAGAAGAATCCAAAGCGGAGAAATTTTTTGATAAAATGAAGTCATAGGGATCCCAGTTTAACAACAACAAAACTATATCAAAAGATCACTTTACAAACTACCACACAACTCCTGCAGTATAATCCAAGTCTCATTTATCCAGTTGTTTTCACAGTACTTCACAAAAAATACAGCCCTTTCCGAAGGGAACTGAACTGTTTTTTCTCCATTTTTGGATTCTTGCTAGAAGAACAAAGTTTTATTCATGAATTCAACATAAAATGGGATGACTAATTGATATAGAAATGCTCATTTGGGGGTTAAATTATTCCTTTAACTTTCACCCAGGAAGCATCAAATTATTCATAATATTGGTTTTAATGTCATAGCGACTCTGAGTTGTTTCGGTTGTCTCGTTATTTATTATGTCCATTTCTTACATAGACATTGATGAGTGCCAGTCAAACCCCTGTCGCAATGGAGGTACATGTGTTGATGGGCTGGCTTCCTTCACATGTGTGTGCCTCCCAAGCTACTCTGGGCTGTATTGTGAGGAGGGTAAGTTTGTGGTTAATTTTATAGATTCTCTCCTTAACTTCTTTCTAAGTATTCTGTTTCAGACTAACAAAAAGTTTTCATTTCATTAGTGTTGTAAGTAGTTCCAACTATCCATCTAAACTGTCTAGACTCAGCTTAAACTATCGTTAAATGGCATGTTAGAATAAACAATCTCATATGCAAGTCTTACATTTGGTAATGTGTTTAGACAGTCATCACAATCACTCACCTGAGTCCCTGGGAAATTATCGAAAAAATAGACTATGAGTCATCTGAATTTCAGCCAGACTACAGAATTACAATTAAGAAGTATTGTTTTAGGTTTCTCAAGGGCATTATCTGAGTCATAAACGCCATATTTATCTTATCATGATAATCACTGTTTAACAGTCTGTTTTTATATTGCCTGAAGGTTTGTCATGTCAGATAATGCTTCAAGCACCCTTGAGCTGTAGTTTCCACAAGCTTCAGACGCACAGACAGTTGACACATTTTAAGTGTACCCTATTGCAGACATTCATTTCTCAGTGCGAGGTCAGATGCGGTGTACACTGCACTGCAGGTATGCTAGACTGCTAGACATCAAGTGACTTTTTGATATGTCTGTCTTGGGAAGGCAATTACTAGACATTGACGTTCCATGGTACTCTCTATGTAACCACGCTTATCTATCAAGGCATTCGTGAAAAATAGATACATTTATTCTCAGGTTTTAGTTTCCCAGTTGCGCCCCACTTTCATCCCAAGTGCGTTGCACCCAGGGCATCATCTGCCTTGGCTGATTTCTCTCAACCAGAGTCTACACCCTAAATTTTGTCGGGATCGCTCATCAGTGAATCACACCCTTTCACTGTCCTCAGACACAGCTGCTGTCTTGGAAACTTTTGGCAGGAGAAAGAGTAACTTAAAGAGGAACAACCCAGAGAACGGTTCTGCCTCTGTTTTTGTCTGTTAATGTTTGGAAGCAGGATTGAGGAGGGGAAGGAGGAAAAGACTGTAGACTGAGTTACTGCAGTGTATGTTGGGACACATACCATCAGTAGGGTCAAGAGGAGGGTGATATCAAGGTGTGACAGAGAAAACCTCCAAACTTTGGAACAGTAACAAGAAAATCAACACCCATTTTAATACATCATCTTAGCCCAAACACATTTTAACTCTCACCGCCTCTCGACTCCCTGTGTTTGACATGAATGACCTATTTGCCACTGCACAGCTCGTGCTCTGTTAATTTGCTTGACTATAATTTGGAATCTTAATTTACTGATTGGGTTTAGCATGTATTAATACCTGTGAAGTATTCTGAGAAGAGTCTGCTTTAGCATGATAATCACACCTCTTAGTAAAAATTGACACTTAATTGGATTCCTGCTTGTTTTGGTCACATGCTGATAACAGAGACTTTAGGAACTAAGTCATCACATTGTTCCTCTTTCATCATGATAAGAGACAGTCAGAGATAACAGCAGGCCTGAAGGGTCAGTAAACTCTGGTGTTAAGAGAAGACTAAATGTCATGAATATTTAGGTGGTGGGGTTAATATTGGATGGAAGTTGATGCATTTAATCCTTGTCAATCTGTTGCAAAACTGTTTTTCCTGTATTCCTCATTCCCTCTTGCTTTCTCTCCCATCAGATACAGAAACATGTGACTATGGCTGGCACAAGTTTCAGGGCCACTGCTACAAGTACTTCCCCCACAGAAGAAACTGGGACAATGCAGAGAGAGAGTGTCGCATGCACGGGGCTCATCTTTCCAGCATCATCTCCCACGAGGAGCAACAGTTTGTCAACCGTAAGTTAGACATCGTAATAGTAGACAATCAATATGCACAGGAACCTATTCAAGTTGTACTGTATGAAACCTACATGAGTATAAAAACAGTGTTAACAGCACTGAAAATGTCTTTGCTATCTCCGTCTTCCTCTTGAACTTTCCGTAACTGACCATTCCTTAAAAGGACATATGGCAACAGAGAACATAATCTGTTGTGTTTCACTCTACCCTGTATGGCAGGTCTTGGACAGGACTACCAGTGGATTGGCTTGAATGATAAGATGTTTGACAGTGACTTCCGCTGGACTGACGGCAGCCCTGTGGTAAGATAGGTTGCTTTCTCACATATTTTTGTCTCAACAAACGTGGCACAGACGCAGTGTAAATATTTGGAAAAGTTGCCGATGACAGATACAGTCATCTAGGGAGAGTCGGCCTTTTCAGAGACTGTGGTGACTTTCTCATGACGTACTATCCTCCGCCTCATATCGCTACACCCTGGTGGGCGACTGCTCTGGTCATAAATCTGATGTAACACGTACTTTAAGGCACCAACTTTTACTCAGTGTGAATCCAGCGCAAGAAAAACCAATAGCTGCAACAATGCAAGAACATGACAATCTGATGTAAGGAGGGAAATGCACACAAGTGGGAGCGTGTTTGGCATGTGGTTGTAGCTGCTGAGGATCCCCCTCACTAGACAGGAAAGTGGCTAATTACTGTGTGCATTGCTATGTGTCGTATAGATTGATGTCCTCACTTCAAAGATAATCATCCAGGACCAGAGGTAGGGGAAGCATACTGGCAGCCCGGGGGTAAAAAAAAAAAAAAAAAGCCTATGGAGACCCTTGCTCAGCTGGGAGATAGAGGGGTGATGAGGGTGTCAGTGACATTGTGTAGAGGGGAGTTTGGCAGGCACAGACAGGTATGGTCCCTCTTCAACCCCCGCACGCATCAGAAGGTCCGGCCAGCAGGCATCCACCCGGGGGAAGGGCCACCAGTCTGGCAGACGCACAGATGGACAGCACCTGTGCTCAGCTGCAGAAAGAGAAACATACTGGGTAGAGGCAGCCCAGGAGGTCTGGGTGGGTGGTCACCTCCAATGGGTTTACTTATAATACATAGGACTACTGTTAAATAACTGTGATGTATTTATATTTGGAAACATTTTAAGAAAATTGATTAATATCTAACACTAAAACACCCAAGCTGGCGTATCTTTAATTGTGGGTGTGTGGGTGTTCAAAGTTTGTTTGATTATTTTGAGGAGGATGCAGGCCTGCTGTGCAGTTGACGGGTCACACATTTGTTAACTTGAAGTGAGCTGAGCAGGAAGTCCGTGTGTGTTTTTTAACCATAATGACAGAGCAGCAGAGCCTCAAGGCACGATCGGAGGAGTGGGGGGTTCACAGCTTTGAAGAAGCTGTTTGAACCTAGAATGCGCTGAAAGACTGCAGGTAGCATCAACTCCTGTTCGAATGCCCCACAGCTCTCCAGCTGTGTCTATACTGTAATGATGTGTAAATATACTGTACATCTGTGTTTGTGTTGATTTTTGTGCATGCAGAATCACACATGTACAGTAATGCTCGGCATGCAGACTGTATGATGTAATGACATAACAGTTATAGTTTTCCATAATGATGCAGCCCTCTGGTCCAGTGCCTGTAGTATTTACCGGATAGCGATCATGTCTCGCACATGAAGTGACACGTTAGTGTGTTGTTGCTCATTGTCTTTTAGAAACACTACTGTGGCTGCTCATTCTGCAGCTTAGTGTGAGATTGGTTGAACATGCTTTACAAGTCCGCTTTAAAACATGTGCTGTTTTCAGTACCTTGTGTTAGTGATACAGACCCTGCAAGTGTCCTTAAAGAGCTGAGCAATGATGAGGTCACTAGGTTGCTGAGTTTAAGTTGGCTAGTAGAAACACACTCTTGCTCCCTCTTGTGGCCACTAATTAAAATCACAGTGATGGGAAACTGCGGCCAAAAACAGCACTGGATCTCTATTTTTGGGATCACCTCTGTGGAAGGAGATAGATGCTAGTGAAAAATCATTTGCTGGTTTGGCAACCTTTACAACACTGATGTCTTCAGCGTGATGTCATGCACTATATCAGGGAAGCTAAATATAAATAACAGATAAATGCTGCTCCTAAAATAGGTTGTAATGATGAATAAAACACTAAAATCATAGCAACTATATCTATGTTAGGGTTTAAATCACTGTGTTTTTTGAGACATGTATATTAAGATACATTTACACTCAAAGAAGGTTCTCTAAACGACAAAGTCATTAAGACGTCTCACTCTTTATGCTCTGCTTTTCTTTCAGCAATATGAAAACTGGAGGCCCAACCAGCCTGACAGCTTCTTCACTTCCGGCGAAGATTGTGTTGTGATGATATGGCATGAGGACGGCCAGTGGAATGATGTTCCTTGTAACTACCACCTCACCTACACGTGTAAAAAAGGCACAGGTAAAAAGACTGCATGAATCATCTCTTACTTTACAGAATGCATGGTTAGACTGGAAACAAATGCTTCTGTCTGTCTTCTTATACTGCAAAATTCCTCACTCTAAAGTCATCTTCGCTTCTGCTTCCCAGTGGCCTGTAACCAGCCCCCTCTGGTGGAGAATGCCCGTACTTTTGGCAAGAAACGTGAGAGGTATGAGATCAACTCGCTGGTGAGGTACCAGTGCCGGACCGGCTTTATTCAAAGGCACCTCCCAACTATCCGTTGTCGTGGGGATGGACATTGGGATAGCCCTAAAATCACCTGCATGAACCGTAAGTACTATAAGTATTGCTCTCAACAGACTGTTCTGGGTGCACAGGCCTTTGACAAACACTGTCATTGATTTAGAGCTAACATATGGTTTTGTTTTAACAGCATCGAGCTACCAGAGGACCTTCTTCAGAAGACATCAACACAACAGTCTCTACAGTATTCACAACTTCAAGCCAAGGCCGGATGAGGCCTTACGCTTTCACCATCCACTCTACCGGGGAAAAAGAGACAGGACTGATCATAAGCGGCAGAGATAGTAAAATGCCATGTGACATGGCACAGCTTCCCCGAGATGAGAACACATGGCTGATGCTTGTGTGGAAAGAGGAGAAGGATTCCCCAAGGAAAGCACGAGAGACAACTCATCAAAGAAACCAAGAGGATAACCTGCAGTTTTCTTGCTTTTTGGATGATGATGATGGAATTTTATGAAGTGCCTTTTAAAAATATGTTGAGACATGACTTTCCTTATCAAGGGGCACTGTTTTATAACAATGCCAACGCGGATACAAAAAACTTTCAGCTGGCTACTGGAAAAGCAAAAAGTACACTCTTTGTTCTTTTAACTGCGGGAGTTTGTTCTGTGTCCTTAGCTTATCAAATAATACACTCATGACTGTTGTCTAATACCTTTATACACCAACTGTGCTATTTAAAATCACCGTAAGTGTTCCTTATCCATAGAAAAAAGAAAGGTGTTGTGAAATCATAGCGCTTATGTTGTGTAAAGGAATCCATTATGTTGTCGTGCTGTTTTAAGCTGGACTTCATTTTAATGAGCATGCGTGCGTATGCATATATACTGAAGTCCTCAAATGTTTAAGTGTGTTTATTCTATGTCAAGACATGATCAGTACACAATTGGAGGCACTGGTGGCAATAATTAACCATACAAAGGACTTATAGTAGAATATTGTATCACATTCTTTCAGAACTGTAAACCTTTGTTTAAGAAAAACAAATCTTTCTCCAGTGTTCAAACCTAATCAGCAGGGTTTCTAAGCTTTGCTAGTGGTTGCTATTTTGATTTTGGATTAACAAGACGCCCATGTCTGGGGGAATTTCACCAAATTGCTCAATTGACTGCTGGAGACCTTCTTTGTAGCAGCAGCTTTCAAAGTACCAAATTACCACCTTTCATTAACTCCAGCCGTCATTGCGTGTCATCGATGTCTTGTCAAGATAGATGTTTATGAATAGATTTCTATACAGAGAATTTTTCAAAACATATTGATATTTCTTTTGTGTGATTTTTTTTTTTTTTTGCAATTTAAAATGAGAGGTTGCTCTCTGAGTACTTACCGACAAAGCCTTTATCCACTGATGGAAATCGATGCCCATCAACTATGTTCAAATGAAAGAAGGGAGGTGTGGCTCAAGTAGCCTGTATTTTCTGCTAATGTGTGTTCAGCGCATAACTTACAATTAGACGCTACAGCATGTTTACGAAAAACGCAATGCTGTTTATAATTACACGCCAAAGAGTCTCGCTGTCATCTGTTGCTGTTGTGCTGTAGCTTGTGACGGTTTAATGCTTTTCTTCTGGACACTTAACTTTTCTGTTATTGTGGTCGATTGAAATCAGACTTTGAGGGAATGTATTTTGTGAAACACTCAAAAAGACTTGAACATAACGGCTGTTTAGGCACAGACGCGTATAATTTATTTTCAAGCTGCTCTTGATCTCCTTACTTGTTCTGTACTCACAGGTAAAATATGATGCTGTCACCTGTCCCAGCAGTGCTCTTCATATATTTTTATTATATGTGCAACAGGAGACCAGCCACAATCACAGACTGTCTAAATGGAATGCATTGAAGATGAAAAGCTACTTAACAGTACAATGGATTTATTCCTTTTTATTTTATTTTATTTTTTACATCTTTAATGCCAACAGTGGACCAAAGAATATGGAGGGCCCCATCGGCTGCAATAATGTTCTGTAACATTAACAAATATTTGTACATGTGGATGGTTGTGTGTCTCTGGCATTTTTTTTTTCAATGGAAAAATGTTGGAGAAGTTTGTATTGTCTGTCTGTGAATGTCTGTGTGTGTGTCTTAATGTGCATATAATATCATTTTATATTTATAACTGTTTTTTTGTTTGTTATTTTGTTATTGTTTTTTTTACAATGTGAATGTCTGGGATGTTTGTGAATTTTTTTAAGAGATCAAATTGTTTTGTTTTCCTGCTTTAAATCACCAAAGAAATAAAATAAATATATGGATATTATATACTAATAACATTTAATTTGGACTTCTTAAGGAAATGCATTGGGAACAGTGTGTGGCGTTTGAGTGCTGTGCATGTTCTCCTTGTGTTTGTATAGCTTTTCTCCAGATGTTGGGGTTTCCTGTTCCTGTTTCCTGCAGTCTAATTGTCCACATGTTTCTCTTTCTGTTCTGAAGCATAGAGTAGCTGCCGTTTAGTCTATCTAGTTCCAGTCTTAAAATAGGCAAAAAAGTTGAATGAATGAAAATGTCTGGACCTCCTACACTAAGGTAAATTTTGCATGAAGAAAGTAGTGCTGTGGTTTCACCAGCAGGTAGTGCTGTCAGACTAAGCCATAAACCTCAGCTTTTGTCTGCCTGACACCACAGAAACGGTAGATGTTTCATTTTCTTCCATGAAGCACCCTGACAGCTCGTGGAAACTCTAAACACAATGTTAGGAATTTACACTAAATTCTTTGAGCCCCAATCACTCTCTGTAACACATCACACCAACGTCCCACTTTCAAAGTTTTGCAGTGTCTTGCACATACATCAAACACTTTTGAAAAACCCATCAGACATGCTCCACCAGCCTCATGGTAGACAGACGGTACATTCAGGGGGAACAGATAGGAAGTGGCAATGTGAATTACAGCAAACATATGGAGTAAGAAGTGGATTAGGGAAAAGTGAATGCTTATGCTGAAATGGCTGATGCTGCAGAACTGCGGACACGCATAAGTACACCACACTACAGTTTTTTTTAGTCGATAGCATGGCTGTAGGTGGCTCCTCTTGAATTTCAAATACTTCTTATGCCTACATGGCAGTGCATAAGGGAAGCGGATGAATTCCCATGGTGTGAAAACAGAAGCTTTTCGAGTACATTACAATGCACCACTATTCCCACAGCAGCGCCTCCTTATACAGCAGTGACTCCAAGTTGACATTGACACTGCCTAATAGCACAAAGCACCATTACCAGAGTAATAACATCGAGTTGGTCGATGTAATCTTTGTGCAAGTTTGGTTTGCTGCGGTTTTCACTGTGACTGCCCACTCTGTCATTAGAGCAGACATGACTTGTGATTAAAGGCTGCTCCTTGGTGCCCCACAGAAGAGTAAAACCTATATTCTTGCCTCATGAAATGCAGATGTCTCATGGGTGATCAGCGGAAAAACCTGGCCCTCTCAGCCCACTTCGCTCTGGGATTTAACAGGATTTCTTGGTTTGTTTTGGAAAGGAAACCCACCCCAGCTCCCCCCTAATTCCCTCAGACTCCGTCTCATCCGATGCAGTGTCTATCATTCACTCATTACTCTGCTATTTTCTTGTCACATGTTACTCGGTCTGGGTACCTGTGATTGACAAGCGTTTGGGATGTAGCATTATCGGACGTGCTGAAAGTCAGCCCAACATTTGATTGGTTGAAAACCACAGAAGGAACCAAATGAAATGTTTCAGCATTATACTGCAAAATAAGACATTTCACAAGGGCAATTGCTCATCAATTTAACTGTCTGCTTCCAGCACAAACAAACCCAGAAACAAAGAAGAGCTCAGTCTGTGCCATGAGTGTGCAGAAGCAAATGCTGTGTGTGAAAGTATAGTTTACTCCACTGATTTTGCTCGAGAATTCAACATCATTATTGAGCTTTTCTTCTATGCTGGAAAAAGTCTTTTGTCGCTATCTGCTGCAGTGTCGACAGAACAAAAAGCTTGCCTCAATGAACTTTTCACCATCACATACATTTGTCTGGCATTTCACTGCTGAATCAACCTAAATCTGACCCCATTCCCATGCATTCCCACAAGCACTCTTAAGCACTGTGCTACTGTTCCCTTTGTCTAACTTAGTGGTGGGCTGGCAGCCTGGCACTGAGTAAAAAATGCCTAAGAATAAATAAATGTGAGGAGAGTCTAATCTTAAATCCTCTCAACGACGTGGGTTCATGCCAGATACACGGCCCCTAATTTGGCATCCTAAACAATACCATTTAAATCTCTGCTTAAACCTCTTTTTATTCACATAATACATGTTGATCTGGGTCCAGCGGAAATAAACAAAAAAAAGTTCCCCGTTGAAAAAGGGACAGTCTCAGAAATTGATTTAAAAGTCGTACTCTTTATTTCAAACTGCTTTGTTGAAAAAGGTACATGGCGATAAGATACAAAAATACCTTCACCTTTTTTCATGCACAAGTGTATACAAATGCACAGGTGTGAGAGACATTTTTAAGTTTTGCTTTTACAAACAATGCATCACCATATTACCACGTGTAACCTGCAGTAAGTACCATATGTCAGTGCCCAGGGTTAGAAAAAGTAAAACACAAGTGTCAGATTTCTTTTCAAACAGATACCTAAAGGTGGTGCTATCTTGTGGTTGTGGCACAGCTTTGCATGGTCAGCTCTGTATGTCTAAAACATGCTCACTGTGGTCCATGGGGAAATATATAAGATATTCCTTTACATTTATTCAGACTCAGTCACTACAGCAGGGCTATTACAGAATTCTTATTGAGGAATGATCATCAATATTAAACCAACAGAGTGCAAGTGGAAAGTTACCACTTACAGCTCATAACCTCAGTAAGATTTAATGAAACTGTTGCAGCAGTCAGAGTGGATTTCAGCCCACTGGTTCATTAATTGTAACTGCTGTAATATTAAAGTTATTGTCTAACTCCTGCAGCTGTTAGACAATCAGGGTATGTTTTGGTACAAGTTTGTGCTCAGGGGCAAAAGGGAAAGATCTGTACTTATTCTGCATTCACTGCCTGACTGTAATCTTGCCGTTTTGTATTGTTTTCTAAAAACTACATTTCACGTAAACATCAAGTGACAAAATCTGTTTTTTCTTCTTTAAAAAGAACATTATGAACATGTAAAAAAAACTATAGTGACAAACATCATTAAAAAAAGTAAAAAAAAAAAACATTTAGTTAAAACAAACATACTGCATAAGGTTACAATAGTAAAACTGTCCTTCAGATTGGAACTGGGAGTTGATTTAATGGGAGCTATCAATGCAGAATAGGTCACAGTCCATCGAGACATTTACATTCATTTTCTTGCGCAACAGTAAATTTGATATCACAACTCCTCTGGTTGAAACGACTGCAGTTTAAGAGGTGGTAAAAACAGCTTCAACTCTGATTAGAGAGGAGTCCAGATGAATACTTACTGCAGTATAACATGTAGGCCTTTCCATAGCTCGACAGCTGTAGTTATGTTCATGTCTCTGGAATCAATCTAAGGTCTTTCATGGACGTGATACTTGATAAATGCGGAACATATCACATCGTTTTGTTCTGTAGACAAATTTTTGAAGCAGCAAATATCATCTGCACATGAGCGTAAATGCTCTAAGTCATGAATCGTTCTGTGGAGGACAAACGAAATTTAAAGTATGTTTCACAACCATCAAGTTCTTGTCTGTGTCGCATCACTCATACATTAACACTGTTGCTTTTCCCTCAACAGTCTGTGTAAAATTAATGAATGCACAGTTAGAGAAAAACAAAACTTAATGGCTAAAAAATATTTTTGTCATTCATTGCGTATGGAAATAAGGTGTACAGTATTTGTTGTTTTAGGGGTTAAAAAGGGTTATCACAGTTTCAGAAAGGCATTGAGCTCATGCTAGTTAAGATTCAAAGCTTATCGGCTTTATTGTGGGTTTTATTGGTTGTGGTTGTTGCTGCTCTTTGGTGGTTATGGCTTCCCTACTCCTATCTACCGCCTCAGTACTCTTTGTAGCAGTAGACGCCGTAAGACTTTTGCATCGGGTCTGGGAATCCGACAAAGCGCACTGCAGCTTCAGTCGGGCTGCAGTTTTTGCGGGGCCTGGAGATGGGGTAGCGGACACTTGTGTCAGCCAACCAGCCGGCATCGCAGCGATCGTAGCCCTCAAGCTTCCAGGCGGAGTACATGTGGCCCACCTTGGCAATCTCTGCACCATCGTCTATGCATGCCTGCACAGCCTCATCAAAGGTCAGGCTGTCGGGCTGGACCAGCCAGTAGAAATGTCCTGACAGGAGAGAAAACCAGACAGACAATCAGGAGAAGACCTTGCTTTTTTCACAATAGAATTCAAGTAGCTGTGAGTGTATGTCCTACTTTTTGCACATTGGTTCACCAAGCTAGGCCATGGTGCAAGAACGCATCAAGAAAATGGATAAACAAATAAAAGAAACTCACCCTTGAGTGCTGAAGAAAAGCAGAACACATCGAAGTGGCTCTGTTTGTCGCGGGGGCCATAGTTTCTGACACCAGGTCCGTTTTTGGTGCCACCGCAGGGCTCTCTGGGTTTGGTGATGGGATACTGCACTGTGCTGTCACTAAGCCAGCCAGCATTGCACCAGTCCAGACCACTTTTCCAGGCATCAAACAGCTGATCAAAGGTAGCGACACTAGCATTCTGGTCCAGACAGGCCTGCACGGCCTCATCAAAGGTCATGCTGTAGCGGCCAACACGGGGGGAGTATGGGAACACGACACCTGAGGGAGGCAGAGGAGATGAAAAAATATGTTAACCTCTTAGTCTGTTTTTAGTTTTATGTTGGTGAATGGAGGCGTAGGCTTTCAAGTTCAGCAGCGTGCAAAATGTCAGCAGTTGTCTCCAGAGGCCAAACTTTGCTAACTCATTAATTTTGTGCTTGTCTACCTCTCTGCATGGGAGAAAGGATCATCTTATGCAAACTAGGTGTTAAGTTCTGCTGCATTAAACTTCAAAGCAAAGTGCTCTTAACTGCTTTAACCGCATGGGTCCAAGAAGTAATAAAATAATAACTCAAAAGTGAATCTACGCATCAGTGCAAGCCAATTCATGAGAAATATGTAGATGTTGCTGCAGACTTAATAGTGACTCATCATGTCGTCTTTTCATACCAAGTTTTACCTCAATACATTGTCGACTGTATTACATGATTAGCAAAAGATTTTGCACATTTTAACAGCTGTATCAAAGTATCAGAATGTTGATATTTTGTGTCAGATTACATGCGCGTGTTCAGCCTCCACCCAGATTGATCCATAACACATGTGAAAAACTATCAACAAAAGGTGTCTGGGAGCCGCCCTTTGGTGCAGAGGAGCTCCAACACACTGCAATAATTTAGTGTGTCACCACGCAAGGTTCCAGGGATCTATGTATGAATATGTTAATAGCCCCAACTTGCATGAAAAGCAGTTTCTCTTCGTATGGCGCATTTTTAAAGGAACAATTTAGTGATTATAAAATCTGATGAGTCAGTCAGATGTACGAGGATATGGAGTGGAAAAGATGGAAAATGTGTTTCTGTTTACTGATGAACAGTATTCAAATGTGATCATGGCTGAATCATTACAGTGGTTTGGATAAATCAGCACAAGCTGTCTGTTCTTGTCTTTTTCTCTTTTTACATGAAAAGAAAATGTGGATGTTTTAAATAACTAGAAACTAAAACACTGCTGAGAGAAAATGACTCAACTTGAACTATGCATATTAACAAGGAAAGGGCACATATATAATGACTAGTGAAGGAGCTACTAATGCTGTCACAGCTGGTGTGGTAAAGGGCAACTACACCCATTTTCAGAATCCATACACGTTATTCCTGTGGTGTAAGACAGTCCAAATATGTTACTGAACATGAACACTTCTCTCCCAAACTAAGTGTGAGAGTGCTGAAATGTATGAGGTCATCAAGTGTAAAGCCTGGAGCTGCTCCATAGACAATGAATTGTTACAGTTGACACTGAGAGCACCCAGGGGAATGACCTGAGTATATGGGCACATTTTCTGTTTCAAGACTGAGAACACTGCAATAGAATAAAGCTCATTTGGGTGTAAAAAAGAAAACTTTTTGAGGGTCCACAAAATCAGGCTCCCATTCATTGTCTATGGAGCAGCTCCACATTTTATACTTGATGACATCACAAGTTTGACTTACTCCTCAGGTTTCTGGCTTTGGGAGACAGTAGCTCATGTTGACACATAAAGACTGAACATTCCAAGACCATGAAATAACAAAGGTGGTATTCCCCTTTGACTTATACTTTAAGGCCCATCCCTAAGTGATGTTACTAAATATATAAATAAATGAAATAGGATTTACCATCAGTGGCAACGCCTTCCACCTCCAGGATAATCTCTTTCACGGTGTCTTCCATCCCGTTGATGATCTCACAGCGGTACTTTCCCATGTCTTCCATGGAGACGTCGGTTATGATTATGGTGGCATCTTCATGGTCAAGCTCCTGCATGAAGACACGGTCCTCGAAGTTTCCGTAGGTCTTCTTGTGGAATCCCATTGAAAGCAGCACATCCTCATTCAGTGCTTCATCATCGGCCACCTTGGTCCATTTGACTCGGATACCAACGTGTGCAAAGGCAGAGTCTTTGGACTGGAGTCGGCAGGGCAGAGTGACATTGTCACCGAGGTTGGCAAAAACCTTGACTGGAAAAGAGGAAAACATAGTATAACCTTAATGGGGTTTTGGGGGTGATTAGGCTTATGATACTACTGGAAAATATGATGTAATGTTTATACAAATTAGAATTATATTTTACACATTGAGCCCAAAGATTGCATCCAGAATTATTTTGCTTTGATTTTGTGCTTAGCGTGAAACTGATGCAGTCTGTTTGAGAAAACACCAAAAAAGGAAAAAATGCCTGAAAACTGCTTTCCCCCATTCTTCCCTCTTTATTGGTCTTTCTTTTAGTAGCTACATAATTATTCCACAGTGTGTTACTGCTTGTGTGTACTGTATGTATTATTGTACAACACACACACACGGACATACACACAAAGCTTTCTCCCACACAAAACTATCAAAGACTCTGGGTGTATCCAGTTTGGTTTAATAGATACAGCATTGGACACGAGCCAGTCTTCAGCCCCTGGAGCCAATCATCCTCCTCAGTCTCCTTCCTGCTCTTGTCAGTCCTGGCACTTATAAGCTTTTGGTTCCTCAGCATTAACTCTCAAAATGAAGTGCTTACCTTTCATTCACTCCATCTGATTTGTGTAAAGTATGTCAAGCACCAAGTGAATAACAAGGAAAGTAAGTAGATAATATAGTAAATGATATACGAATCTGGCTGTCATCGTTTTTTCTTACTCAAATATCCTCCGTGCACTCCTGTCCAAACTAGGCCACCCATTAACTCTAAACAGCAGTGCATTTGTGTCTCACCATGGGTTCCCACAATCTCCCTGACCTCCTTGTTTAGACCTCACAGGGCTTGCTTAGTTAAGAAGACCCCAACCTGCCAGGGGTCCCCTGTGCCAGGCAATAATAAGCACCAGATGGATGGATGTACATGACCCCTGACCCCCACCGCCATAGGTATATCCTTGAACAATCAGCTCTGTAAGTGGAGTCAAATGCTGCAGCGCACAGGACTTGAAAGATAATATGGTAATTATATAACTGTGTGAATCAACTGGCATTTTAGCTATAAGTAGTCTGCGGACTTTTGCAAGCAAGCAATTTTTGGCTGGTTCAGTCATGTTGCTATGTCTAGTATTCACTAAAAAAAAAAAAAGAACCCTGAGCTGCTCTGGTTTTTTACTGTCTTCCCACTTACTCAATATGGATGAGCTGTGCCTGTCTGTCTCTATGTTCTGACTGAGGATGCCAGCGTTTGTGTTGAGGCGCCTCACTTAGAGCAGGAGCTGCAACACTAGAGCCAGGACTGGAATACTGTGTTACTGGCTCCTCAACAGGGAAAACGTTTCCCACAAGGGCAATATGGAAAATAATAGGAGCTACTGGCTGGCTGCCTTCCGCTCTGATCAACCCATTCTACACCCCCCACCACGCACGCGCACGTACACACATGCACACAGAAGTGACACTGAATGACTTATAATCAACCCCATGTCTAAACTGTCCCAGTCCTCCATTCTAACCACACAGTCGACACGTGTCTGGACTTTGTTCAGTGGTGCTCAGATCATTAGTATTGAGCTCTCCTTCAGAAGGATTTAATTAGCAGAAGCACTGCTGACAGACCTAATCTACCCTTCAGTCCAACCCTCGTGCCACTTTTCCTTCCATTTTTTCATTTCTTTCATAAGACTGCAAACCTCTTCATACGCCAGAGACTACTCCTATTACCCAATCACCACACCCAGTAGCCTCACTCGCCTCTCCACTGGTCAGTAAGATGCCAGGTATTTTACAAGCTGGCGACACCCCGTTTTGACGCTGCTAATTACGAGTGTCTTCGAAAGCGGAGTGTAAAAGCAGTCTGGACAGGAGGCCTCTTTCCCCGCTCTGTCAGTGACGAATGACTCACAGCTTCGTCGTGCCTCATAAATTCTCTGCATGGGTAGCAATTTCAAGAAGTGCGATTGAAACCTGTGGGATCCAGAGTGACTACGAAGTGAAAGCCCTTGCCAAGGTGAAGCTGATGGTGACGTCAATATTTATACCTAAAAATTTCCAAATTTCTACATCTTAGGAAATTAGAGTAGATAGAATAAAGGGGTTCATTGTACTGTCTTGTGGAAACATTGTTCTGTACAGAGACAAAAACCACCCACTGGATGTGGTTTGTAATCCTGTAATGAGAGATGGGAGGAGGGGATTAATTGGACATCACTGTTGGAGTGAATTACTGCATACATACTAACCGTATACATTAAAGAGTTCTAAATGAAAGAAAAACAAAGAACTCTGTCTCTTAAATATATCATTTATTCTGGGGCAACCTTGAAGGTAATGTTTCCTGCGAGACAGTAGCAGCAGACAGGCATGTTCAGAATAATTCCACAGTCTTTCCTGCTCCTGCAGTTACCAGCAGACATGTCCCAGAGGAGAATGTGGCCCCGGCCATGTGGGGCACACTACGCTCATAAAGCAACAGCCTGTTGTGTGTACTCAGCCTTTCAGGGAGAGAAGAAAGCTTTTCTTTTCTTTGTCACACCTCACCCACATAAGTCCCCCAGAGGTCAAACCTGGTGCCACAAATTGTCACATTTTGCATAAAAATGGGTTGTCAAATAATTCAGAATCCATCTGAAATCTTTGTGGAGCGCAACTGGGAATGAGAACCCAGCAACGGAGTAAACGAACACATGTGCATGATAATAAAAAAGACTCGCAGCTGCAGCCAAGACCCACTGGCATTTTATGACCGAGCACAATTCTCTCTCACTCTGTTAAAGGTTGTAATAGCAAGTGATTGGAACCATCTGCTTCGTCGTAACACCGAACTGTAAATTAACAACAACATCACAGTGGTCCAAGTCTAGTCAGTGACCTATATACTCTGAAACTACAACAGTGTAATTCAGCTGTTAAACCTCAAAACATCATTTGTGCTTAAAGTTATTTGGCTCAAATCCCTCCTCTATGAAAGGATGGAAATCATGGGAGAGGAGTCACTGCTTATCAATGCAAGCCATGGTGTGCCACGCCCTCTGACAGAGCAGCTTCATATGAGATGCTTTGCAATATTCCGCAGCCTTAGTCTCATCTGCTGTCGGCCCGCTGTGTCAATATGGAGAAAGAATTAACAAGCACAGCTGGGACAAACACAGCAGGCCAACTCCTACACACTAGTTCCAATAAACTCTGTCCTGCTGTCTGTCATGCAGAACCAGCAGAAACACAGAGTGTGGGTGTGCTGTACATTGCTCACATGGGTACACACTTGCAGTCCTCAGCACACATATAAAGTAGACTGTCACCAGAGTCATTTGTGAATTAGCACAAATGCAAAAGCACTGAACATGGCTCCATCAACATCTCATCCCCTCGCCTATACTCAATTTCAACTCAGCCCCCAGCCCCAGCCCCAGCCCATTTCCGGCCTAGCTCCTTTTCCCACCCAGCCCTAGCAACGGGGCCAAGCCTCAGTAACCAACAACTACAGTGAGCATTAGACTTAACAGACTATTACCTCACAGGGAAAGACAGAGTCATTTGGCTGCTGTTCAGCATGGGGCTCTATACGTTTGGCTGCGGGTCATTAATCTTAACTTCGCTCCTGTCAGGCTGCCTGTTACCGTGGCGGATTTCCAAAAGCTCCCAGTGCCAGAGTGAGTCAGTAGGTATAAGGACAGGCAACGCCCCGTGAACAGACAGAGAATACACCGCTACATATGGCCAATAAAAGCTATACTGTATGGAACAATGATTGAGCTGGCGTGAGTCTCGCCAGTGCTTTTACGTAATGCAGACAGTGAGGTCATGTATAAACATACATGTGCTGTATGGACACAGACCCGTGACATCACTGGCTAAAGGGAGTGATTCCAGTTTTTGGATTAAACAGCATCATCTCCTCCTGGAGTGAAACTATTCTCCCCACAGACAAGCCATTTCCTCCCGTCTTGGAAGAGAGAGAGCTGAGACACCCCTAATTTGACATCTACTGAGTCAGCTTGCAGGGCTGCTGAAAGCGCATTAAAAATCACTCATATAACATAAGAGCGTCTACTGTAGTTTTTTTTTTTCTTTCTCCACAGCGGTAGATCTATTCTGGTATTTCACAGCTTGCAGTTGCAGCAACCGTCTCAGTCTGTCATCCTGTAGGCAGGTGTGAATTTGAATTATAACAGCCTCATGATGGAGCGCAGGTGCTCTCTGATAAGATGTCTTTCTAGGTTTTTATTTTCTGTCTTTCACAGGAAGTGGAGGACAGACTGACAGATGTGATAAAATGACCGAGAAAAAAAAAAAGAAAGACAAAAGGTCAAGACTTTACTGTAGGAAATTCCTGACAATTTTTACAGTCTAGTGAGAATTTATATCCAAACGGTGGCAAGCACTGCTCGCCCAGCTTCAGCCACTGACACACATGTGACCCATTTTAAGAGCACAACCAGTAATATTAGTGGTGTGGTTTTCATTCAGCAGTGTGGGCAGCGAGCCTCTGTGAATGGCAGTTCATGCTGTGGTGGTCTGTATGCAGCAAGTCAATGAGTTGATAGTAAGTCAGTGTGTGTGTGTGTGTGTGTGTGTGTGTTACCCCAGAGACGCCTCTGTTACCTACTGCTACAAAGACCCTGTTGTTGCACAAGCCTGAACTGTGGCACCACTTAACTCATCCTCCAGCTTTTTCTTTTAATGCATGGTAACACTCTTGCACATGCACACACACATGCAGACACAAAAGATGAAAACAGACACACACAATCACCCACATACTTTTTTTTTTTTTTTTTTTTTTGTTTTTAACTTGAAGTTAATCTTACCTAGTGCTGGGGCATTGCTCGTCGGCTGATCTGGTAGTGCTGGGGTATTGCTCGTCGGATGATCTGGTAGAGGTGGGGAAGTGTTCGTCGGATCATCTGGTAGTGGTGGGGGAGTGCTCGTCGACTCATCTGATAATGGTTGACTGTAGGCACTGCCAGCCAGGGTCAGGGAGATCATTGTGATGCACAGCAGACTCGTCATTTTCTCTTTTTTTTTTCTCACACAAAGGGCCCACTTCAATAAAAATATAAATATAACACTTAAAATGAAACAAAAGAAGACTGCACTAAGTTATCTAAGCCTTGAATATTTTAGGAGAGCCAACAACTTTTCTTCTGCTTTAATTTTTATTCATCTAGCTGTCTGTCTTTCTGTCTGTCTTTGTGCAGCAGCCGCCTGTGGTGCTACTGGAAAGTTTGGGCTCCTCAGAGGTCCAGACAAGTGCCTTTTATTGAAGCCTTACATGGTTGAGACCACTCCCCTTCCCCTCAGCCCATCATCATGCACAGCTCTATACTGGCTCCCCTTTGCCACATTATTTACAAAAAACTCCCTCCTCTCCCTTGGGAGATGAAAGGATGCAGGAAAAACTCCAGACAATTAACCTGCATATCATTAACCACAGTGACATGTTTTTTTTTTTTTTAGATAAGAGTGAAACTATGACGATTCCTGTGAGGAATGCAACACAGTCATGATAATGCTTTGAAATTGATCAGAAATACATTTGTCATCATTAGAGGCAGTTAGTGAGACACAATCTTAAAATGTCAGATTTGTTTTGCACCACATCTGTTGTCCCATGATTTGCAGCTTTGGTATGTTCTCACTCTATTAACTTTGATTCATTCTGGTTTACACCCCATTTCACTTTCATTATGTCTGTCTAATGGTCCCTTTATCAGGCTTCAATTACACAAATAAAAGTTAATGTTCAAAAGTTAAATATTGTTGTCATGAATAACTCTCAACTCTGTGAATGGCCTACCCTTTGTCCCCACACACACACACACACACACACACATACTTGTGCTAAAAGCGATGTGTAGTCACTTTGTAGCCTTGTTGGTTTATCCATACATTTGATACAAGAACGTTAAATGTAAAAGGGTCATAAAAATGATACAAGTCATACTTGCCTTATCCTCCATTGCTCTCTTTCTTCCCCTATAGCATTATTCTCTATATACATTCATGGCTGAAGTTGTGTTAGAAACATTTGTAACTGAACCGGTTCAGCTGACATGTCCACAGTTGCTGTAAATTTAGTGAGCATGTTTCTCTTCTGATGCTGTAGCAGAGCAGAGCAGAGCAGAGACTGCAGAGTAGCTCAAGGGAGTCAGGACATGATTTTGCGACCAGCCAGGAGCACAGGGGGGCCTGTGTGGACTAAACGTTTTCTCAGCCGTCCGGATTGTCTTTGAAAGATGGCAAGGCTGGGAGTGGAGCGACGCGCTGCAGATGCTGTTCTGGACCTCTCCATCACTGAGTTATTACAGCTGGGGCAACTCAAGCTGTTTTCTTTCTCTCTGTCTCCCTCTCCCTCCTCTGCCCTATCTGCCAATCCTTCAAACCCCGCCGAGATGTCAACAGTGTACATGGTGGGCCTTGGTTGTATATTCTAAAGTCCCAGCTCGCCCTGGGCACATCCTCCCTGTCCCTGCCTCCAATCCTCTGGAGATCTAAGGAACTGTTACGTAAGTCGGCCATAGGCCCCAGTGCACAGAGCGAAATTATCAACATACGTGGCCCGGAGTGAGGGCACGGAGACTCCTGACACAGACTGTGAGTTTAAACCAGAGCTGCAAGCACCTATGGCAGCATCTGTGAGATGCTTTGAGAATTTCAAAGCCTACGTAGCCCCCAATTACAGCAATTTTATTGTTAGTGGCAAGATTGCTGCATACTGTAAAAGCGAACGCATCCTTCCCCCTCAGCAGCCAATCATTTGTGAGAACATAATGTCTGAACATGTGTTTGAAAAAATTGACTTTTGTGTTACAATATTCCCATTCAGTCCCGCTTAACAAAAGAGCACAAAGGAGAATGGGCTGCGGCAGCTTTGGCAGCGCTCATGCAGGGTAGATACAGCGTGCATGCGTTATAGAGGCGTAAAAGAAACCAGCACAATCAACACAAAGTGTGTCTTGGCGTAACGCTTGTTGCAAATCCATCGACAGATATCCAAGCCACAATATGAAACTGTAAATATTTGGGTGGTCAACATAATTGTTTCTGATGGAGCTTGGCAGCTCATATGACAAAAGTGTGGCTCTGGCTTTGGAGAAACTGCATGGGTTGTACTTGGTGCAGGATTTCTGCTCAGCATAAAAACTCCTCAGTGTTCTCTGATGATGAAATGTGGGTGATGAAATGTTACATAATTTATGTAATTACCAGCTGCATGAAAGGAAACACGAACAATGACAAGATAGATAGATAGATAGATAGATAGATATCCATTAAACTTAGTGAATCCTGATTGTGTATCACTTGGTTTCCTTTACCGTTTTGTCCTTTTTTCTTCTACCATCTGCGTGCCATGCTCGTCTACAGGAGCCATGTAAAAGATCTGTGACCATGACATGTTCTTCTTGACTCATGTAATGGAAGCATCCTGGAGAACTTCACTTCTGATGACTTGTCCAGACAGAGACCTGGCTGATAAACTTTGACTATGGCTAGGTTTCCATTGGAATAGAATACAGATTTTAACACAATTTTCAGATTATCCGTCAAAGAAAATGCAAATTTATGCATGTTTTTTGCCAATATTAGGAGTTGGCTCATAAGGTAAGGGTGGCATTTAGTCTCCAGATAGGTGCCATTATATTGCTGCAGAAGAAGGGGGCGTAACAACATGATGTAACTGAAATAGCACCACTAAAATGTAAAAAAAAATGTGATAGAAATATGGCATTATTTTGAAGAATCTGATGTTTTCGTCACTTTCATGAGGGTTTAGTGGATGTTTATGTATGTTATAATTAACTCGCCAAGTCTGTTTCCATTGCATTTTGTCACATAATTGTATTTACACTAAATATTTCACCTCAGTCAAATGTTGAACGTGCAAACTGAAAATGTGCATTAAAAACCGATGGATGGAAATGTGCCCACTGAAACTAAAGCGTCCAGTGGAGCGCAAATTTGAATCTGTAGGAACTTACAAACTGAGTACTTTTGAAATGTAGACACTTATTGAGTAGACCTAGGCCTAACCTCAAACATGCAGTATTGTGAGTCTCTGTTACAAAACCAGCAGCTCTTGAGATTAGTATTGGCATCTCCATGAATAGCAATTTTCCAGTATTGGCATTGTTTGGCCAGTAAGACTGTTCATTCAAGACATGTCACAAAAGTAAGATCATGTGTGTCTATTGTTGTATATTTCTTAATACTGTATAATCTTATGCATCTGTATATGTGCACATTTGGGAGTACAGAATGTACTGGCCTGTGAGATGTAGATTGAATGTCTTGCGGCTGAGAGGAGTCCCACCCAGAGACTCCTTCATGGGTCTGCTGTGTCAGAGCCAAGTCTCAGGGCCATGAGCGCATTCGCAGCTGGCTCTCTGCAGCCTGAGCTCCCAGCTCTTGGACGGGTGGTACGATTTCTGTTAATATATAGCAGCTCTCCGGGTCCCAGGCCACTGGAGACACGAGGGCAGGATTGTGTCCGAAAGTGACAGTCAGTACGTTTGGGAGTCTCTTACATAAACATTTCCGTAAGGTTGGACAGGAAAAGGTCAAAGCTGAACAAGCATAGGTTATCCCACGTTAGCCACATTCACGTAAGCCTCCGCCAAACATGTGGTCCTCATTATCTGCACCAGTACAACACGTGATTAGACTTGGAAACATTTCTGAAGATGACGTGGGGATAATTCGCTGTGCGCTCCTGCTAATAAGGCAGCGATACAACAATGAAGTACGCGACTGGGGCTGTAAAAGGTCTGGGTGGGATGAGAAAGCAAAATGGGTACATACGTGAGCAGAGCAGCTCTGACTCCACACAGCTGGTGTATCACAGTCTCATCTCCTCCATATCAGAACAAGGAGGAACAAAAAGACCATGTTTCTTTTATTCGTTTTGTAATGGATTTCCCCTGTCATCAGATCCGGATTAGAGATGGTTCCACACACATTGGCCTTCGCTTGGCTTCTCTGGCTGTTTTTCGTGCCACATGTGTCCAGTGACTGAATGCTGGCCATAATTTCAGTGGCAGCAGCATAGTGGAGCTGTGTTTTGGTGTTGAGACATGTCATCTATCAGCTGGCTTTGATACAGAAACACACAAGTCACAATGCCACAGTTGAGAAACCCAAGAGGTTCAAATGATTCTTCACAGCCAAGTGGATGAAAAGATCAGTGACATTTATCTTTTATCTAACTTGTGATGGATGTCTGATAGTGGTGTCTGGCTTTAACATTATTTCTTGTCTGGTGTGATGGGAATTCATGTTTGATGTTGTTTCTCTTTTGTCTTTTTTTCTTTTGTCTCCCATCTGACATATTATTATCCAGTGGTGGAGCGTGATTAAATACATTTGCTGTAGTACTGTACTACTGTGAATTTCGAGGCACTTATACTTTACTTGATTGCTTCACCTACTGTACATAACAGATGAAGTGTGGTTTTTCACAGCTAGAGTTACTTTGAAGATTAAGACTTTACATTCATAAAGCACATGATCATCATGAAAATGATGCACTGTTATAGTGCATTAATGTACAAAATAGTTCAAATGAGCTTCATTCTGACCATCTGTAACATTAAAATGCTGCTTACACAGCAGTGCATTAGTATGACCCAATGATAACACCCTGAAAGGAGCCATTCTGAGAAGTATTAAAGATTACTGTTTTTGATGCTGCAGGTACATTTTACTGCAAATAATTTTGTATGTCTAATAGAGCAGTGGTTCCCAGCCGGTTCAGCCACAGGGTCCAGATTTCTCCTCATTAGTTCAAGGTCCACACAATTTAATACATTCAGTGTCATACTTCCGTTTGGCCATGTCGCTGAGCTAGTTTGCTGTCTCTGTCAAGTAGCTGTCTGTTAGTCACTCACTCATCAGCAGGAAACACCAATTCAAAATGAAGCTCTGGGACGGAAATTCGCTTTACTTAAAAATTAAGTGTGGCTTTTACAAACATGACATGTTTGCAGGTCATTTGCGGGCCACTTTACTATAGTAAAAGTATGAATGCTTGTATATATTTGTAATAGAGTATATTACAACTTTGTAATAAATTTTCTTTTGATTGTACTTGAAACTAACCTGGAAATCCAGATGCCCCACCCCCAGCAAATTCGAATTTGTACTGCACGGGGATCTGGCCCCGACGAGCAGAGCCTGCTGAATCGCCTATCGGACCAATCAGATCAGTCTGACAGAGGCGGGTTCTGGGCGGTGGTAACATGAT